CAATATACTCTTCGAAAATATATTCGTAAATATTTTTTACATATTAGGTGTATATGAATTTTTAAATTTCCCCAAAATAAGTTCCATTACACAAGTCATGGTAATAAATGAAACTTAGTAAGGAAGAGCTGGTGCCATTGGTGATGTTTCGAACATTAAACAATTAAAAATTTTTAAACAAAAAATAAAACCGACTTCAAAATCGATGTTACTAAAAAGTAAAAAAAAACTGGTTCATGATTTGGAAGTCGGGCGGGTCAAGATTGAAAGACGTATTATTACCGATCAGAAACGAAAATCTATTTAATATTTCAATATTGTCCCCGCCTCCTTTTTTGAATTCGGTTTTTGTTAAAAAGACATAAATATAGCATGAAAGAATGAACATAATGATTGAGGGCGACTTAACTTAGTCCAAGGTAACCCCACGAAAAAACAGGTATGCGCGTTTACCCCAAAAAAATTACCATATGTCGTATCCCCTCTTTAGAGAACACTCCCCTTACTGCCTCGGTTAGTATCGATATTATTGGCAGTGACATATCGAGCGACATCTAGTTCTGAGTTCATCTGTACGCAAGGCCAAATTTTCTTCCAAGAAACTTGGTGTGCTCAATAGATAGAGGGCGGAGTACTTTACACCGGTCCACCGACTGCAAACTGTCTTTAGGCGACAAATCACTCACTCAAATGATCACTTACCATCAGGTGAGCCGTCAGCTCGAATATATGCCCCCTATAATATGTATAAAAAAATACATGTAGCACTCGGGGACTGCCGCGGTAAAGCTATTGCATAGCATTTTTTATTAACTTATGCAATTATAATTATTTATTTAATTTATTTATACAGTATTTTTACTGATATTAACTCAAGTTACAGTTTTTGAGCGACCGAAAAAAAATATTTTTTTTCTTTTATACAATAAATGAGAAGTTGAAATTGTTTAAAATATTTGTATAATCTTACATGCGAGCTTCGTAGAGTCGTACCATATATACATGCACGTTAAGGTTTAACTAGTCGCGGGCTCGAATCACTCGTGGACGCGGCCAAAAAGCACGCTGTCTCACCTAGCATTGTGTCTAAAAGAGATAGAATCAGTTATGAGCAGTTAGCAGCTAGTCTACACGCATACGTCTTGTCACACCCACACAAACAATGTGCCGAAGTCTGCCGAACTTAAACGACGTTAGATGATGCACGGCTTTCAACGCCGAACCGCTGTGCCGGTCGGAGTGGGGGATTTTAAAAGAAAGACTGAAAATATTTTTATAAACCCTTAAAAAATACAACATGTTAAAAGTAACTCATACAGTATAGACTAACCAGGACCACGCCTCAGCGTTAGCTGATACGATATTGTGTCGCGCCAGCACTGTTATTCTGGCAGGGCCTGCTTGGAGTTATATAAGCTGGCGGTTGGCGCGCGTGAGGCGCTCGTTGTTGTAGACCCGAGCGGTGCCCCCCACGGCGGTGGCCGGCGGGCCGCCCTTATCAGCGGTTTCCGGGGCGCCGTCCTCCGAATCCGCGGCCGGGGGGCTGCCCTCCACAACAGAGGGTCTCTGTTGTGGAGGGCAGCCCCCCCTCGCACAGGACGAGGACGCATGAGGACGCACACGCCCTCAAAAGGTCGTCGCGCAGCTGGCGGCGCGCCCACACGCTCCGCGAACACCACGTCCCGCCTGTCGACAGTCACTCCCAGCTGCACGGCCAGCATGGTGACGCTCTGCACCACGCTGATGGGCAACCCGCCGATATCCAGGTCGGAGATCAACGCCTCCTGATCGCGGTCGTTAACCCCGGCGTGCAGCTCGGATATGGTGCGCTCCAAGTCCATCCTACCAGTTGCATCAGGATCCACTCGACGATGCTCCAACACCGCAAGGCTCTGCTCGAAGGTCGAGCGGTAAAAGAACTGCGGAAAGCCTTTTAAAAATTTAGAGTTTTTAGGGTTCCGTTCCAACAATCATACAACGTAGGCCCTTAGATAAATACCTTAGTCTAACATATTATATTATTATGCATTAATTTTAGTCAACGAAATGCTAAAACTTATGCTTTATTAAATGTTTTGGGTTAACGTTACTTGCAGACAGTTGATACACATGCTACGGTTATGGAACCAACGTTGGGAAACCGTACTCTTTAACAAACTTCATCAAAAGACAGACGGACAGACAGATTTACTTTAACACTTATAATATTCAATACGTTATAAATATGAATTAAAAAATAAACAATTTTAGAGTTTTTAGGGTTCCGTACCACCAAAGGAAAAAGCGGAACCCTTATAGGATCACTTTGTTGTCCGTCCGTCTGCCAAGACCCTTTTTCTCAGGAACGCGTGGAGGTATGTAAATACTCAGATCTACTTTTCCTTGGAGCTGTGAAAAAATCAAACTTCTAAGCCGACGCAATCAAAAGATACAGTCGTTTATGCCACAAATTTTCGAAACTCGCAAGGGATTCAAAACCTACAGGCTACTTCCCGTGAACTCAAAATCTTGAGATTTGGTACGAAGCAACGTCTTATAGCACAGATAAAGGAAAAATTGCGAAAACCGAAAATTTTTGGTTACATCACATTTCTTTTTAATAATTATTATATACCTACAGGTTTGTACAGAAACCTAGATGCGCGAGTCCGACTCGTGCTTTCCCGTTTTTTTTAAAGGAGGAGGAAGTTAGAGATAATTAAAATAAATGACGTGGCATCTGTAACGCGACTTTAAAATTACCATATCTATCGATAGATCGGTAAAATACTTACCTACTTTATGTTGAGAGCCATGTTTCCCGCAAAAAATTAAGTTGCCAATAATTATCTCTTGTTATTTATTTTCTTCATGCGTTTTATACAGTTTCATCGCCAACATGATAATATGGCAGCCTAACTGAGTTTGTTTCACTAGTTCTTCTCAATCCGGTCTTCAACTTTTAAAAGATAAAACTAAAATAAAATTATTGAAAAATATTTGTTGTTATAGCTATTAAATTAAATATGAAAGTACTGTCATATTTATCTGTGGCTAAAATTTCCATTCATAGTGTATTAATCATATTGATATAATTATTATTAACCAAATATAGTTTAAGAAAACTGTCTTCAGTGTAAGGACATTTTTATTTTCTAAATTTAATAACGTTAAATAAGGGGTATAAGTCAGCTTCTGATAAATGCAACGATTAGGTAAACTTGAAATAGTGGAAGAACATAATATATGACCGAAGGGTTTAAAGGATACTGTAACAAAAAAAATATTTTTCAAGCGCAGTAGGTACAAAAAATGGTTACAAATATGTGGCTACAATACAATTAAACTTACCTTACTTACCTATGAGGGTTCATGTGGCATCATAGAGCACCATGGAAGGGAGAGTAGCCATAGCGACATAATACTATTCAAATCATTTTGACATTTTTTGCGGGAGAGGGGAGAGGGGATATGCACACACAGTTTAATGTGTAAAAACGAAACTGTAATGACGACGACACTCATAAACAATGACATACATCGTCAAATCCTGCACACATATATCGTTTGTATAAGTATATCCAATTCGACAGAGCGATAAGCTGTGTACTTATACATACTTGCCTCCTGACAGCGTCGTCTGTTTTGCTCTTGGTGTTCCATTTAAAAGTAATTTTTATTTATTTTTATTATCATTTAAAAGATTCAATCCCTCTAAAACACAGGCCTGTCTCTTCTCGGCGAAACGGAGTCCATTCCATCTGACTCCGACTTTCCGAAATGTCTCCGGTGCCGGTTAAAGACCATCTCGAGCTCTTGGGTCTGGAAATTTCATCCAATCTCAATTTCGGTCGCTACATCGAGTCCATGGCTAAAACCGCTGCCAAAAAACTTGGAATACTTTCTAAGGTCAGGCGATATTTTACATCTGAGCAGCTCCAGCCAAAGGTTGCTCCTGCTTGGAGCACTATTGTCACTTTTGAGACGGCCCTGCTCGGTATCAGCTGGAAGCACTGGACTCGGTGGAGCACCGTGCGAAGAGACTCAAAGGCAATGAAGCTCTCGTTGAGGCTAATCTCCAGAGCCTTGACCATCGAAGACGTGTAGAATGCCTCTCGGTGTTTTATCGGCTACATTTCGGAGAGTGTGCGGAGGTAATACATAATTTGGTTCCCCCTTCCCCTTTCCACCACCGGACGACCAGGCGCGGCGAGGGCTTTCACCCTTATGTTGTCGAAGTTCCTCCCATTTTCACGAAGCGATTTGCTTCCGCTTTCATTATGCGAACGCCTAGGGAGTGGAACTCCTTGCCGAGGTCTGTTTCCCCGGACCAATATAATCTGGACATCTTCAAGGCCAGAGTGAATAGGCATCTTCTAAGCAGCCGTGTACCATCCTAGGCCTCATCATCGCTTTCTATCAGGCGAGATTGTGGTCAAAAGCCTTGCCGATTAAGCATAAAAAAAAATTAAAAAAAACTCCTTTCGCACTAATATTTTGTATTATACCTTTAAACTTATAATATAATCACTATATAATCATAATTTTATTAAAAACATGAAGGGAAACTGCTTTCCTCTTTTTAAGCAAGTTTACTCATGAAAGTGAGTGACAGAGTGTGAGATTTTATTAATTATGAAGAAGTGTCTACACTGCAGAAAGCTAGGTATCTTAAAACAAAAATCCATTAGATATACATAAAATTGTTAAAATAAACTTATTTTCTGTGACTTTTCTTCCGTACCTAGTCATACTAACTGTTCGGTAGGAAATACCTAGTTATGTATGAACTGTGTCTGCAATCAAAGTGTCTTAAGTACGAAGATTTAACCATTCCGCCTTGAGCTTTTCGTTTTGCCCTAAAAGCACAACACAGACGTCACAGGGTTATAAAGAAGGACCAAATTATTGAAGTACGTATACTATTTACTACAACGCGAACGCACGAGTAACCCCGTGCAATATTAACATCTCCATGTGCTCAGATGAGACGCACAGGTGCTTTCTACTCGCCATTTATCCGTCACCCGCGGTACCGGCGAGTCACATCGCCGACTTCCCGGGAACTCGAACGCGAAAACGGACCGTAGCAAAAGCCCGGCGTGGCGCGCACTATTTTCGTGTGGGTCACTGACCTATTTAATGTTAGGAAAGCGCGCGCTCTTTTTAAATTTTTCGATGTTCTATCACCGCGATAGTTTTTGATTTTTTTTTTGATATTCAGGAACACCGTTTGAATTATATATTTGTGTTAATGTTCAATAATTAAAAAGGTTAGATATTTAGAGTAGTAACAAAAAATAAGTTTGGACAATCCAAAATTTATGATGTTTTATTGTTTTGACGTTTGAACTTTGCACGATCACCGGAAGCGGGTTGCTTGGTAAGTACCTAGGTAGTAACATAATATTACTTATTTGTATAGTCGCTGTACAATATGATGGCTATTTTGACACATTGCAATAGTGACGCGAAAAGTCAACCTGTTATCAAAAAAATCCTATATAATCAAATACGAGTCACACCTAGGTATTATTATTTTTTTTATTTTTTTCCAATATTGCAAAAACTTGCTGATTACAAAGTTTGAATAAAACGAAAACATAATTTTTTACTTAGGCTCAGCGATCCTCTAAGTAACGATCTAATTAATTTCATGTTTTTACATTTTGAATTTCGAACAACATAAATGCTGACTTATGTGGCGAATAAGTACACTATAATTATATTATTATTTGTATGATATAACATTTCTTAATGACAGTAAGAATAAAACAATTATGTATTTAAATCAATTTCCTTAATCATTTTAAAGATTCTGTCAAAGGACCGCTGTTTTTGAGTATAAAATGATATTATATGCATTTGTTTTAATCTTAATATAAATGAGACCATGATTTTATTTAATTAAAACTAAAAACTAAGTAAAACTGTATAAAAAAATAGTAAAATTTAAATTCTACGCCCTAAAATTACCGATGACTTATGACTAAATGCGCGTCTCTAATGACAATGAAGGACAATAATTATTTCTTTCAAATGTAGAACTAATTTCGATTATAAAATATGAAACTTTTTGAACGAACAAACGTAAAAACGGCCATGATAGCGTGCCGCTAAAATCATGATTTTAAGTGAAGCTTTCTCAATTTTATTTATGACTGCAATAAACAAACTACCTTTTTGTTAAGATGTGGTGTAACCCTGATTTGCTATCAAACTAAGATTTGATGAATAAGCGATTTTACTACATCGCATAATAATAACGTTTATTAATGAGATATGAAAGTGAGTATTCGTGATAATTTCTATAAATAGTATTTTGCGAAAGTGGTTTAAATGCTTTTTGGCATGCCTCATATATTATTCTGAAAGTTTTCGGTAAAAGTGATTTATTATCGATTTTTAAAAAGAGTTAGTTAGTACCGAAAAAATCCTAACTTATTTTCAAAGAAATTATTAAATGGCCCATTTATTTTAATTTCTTTTTCTAAATAACTATAAATAATACTTACCTATAACTCCAAGTTCGATTGGAAGTAAAATAATAATCGATATCTATATTATCTTTCAATCCTTATTCCTTGTTACCCCCTTTATTTCGCAAATGTAGATATTATATATCCTTCTCTGTATGACAATACCAAAATGTAAGTACCTAAGTCGGTTGATTCAGAATGTTTTAGGCGTAAAAACCTAACTTTAAGATATTGCACTTATACCTAATTATACTATGGTTCCTCCATAGCCCAAAATTAGACCTTTTTAACTTTTCGCCCAAAAAGTATATTTAGTTCTTCTTCTTTTTGTCTATTATTTTTTATTTTATTAGTCTTTTTATGTCTATACTACGGTGTCTGGTAGAAATCGCTCTTAGCGATAAGACCACTCACTAGAATGCTTTTGTTAAGTTTATTGTGTGTTAATCTTATGTAATTATGTATTTGGTGTGATAATGAAGTGTTAATCTAGTACAGTTTCTTTTGTCAAAGAATCATTATATGATGTGTTTCAAACGAATGAGGTATTATAATTTTATTTATTTAATATAGCATTATTATAAAAAAAATCATTCGGCTAAAACTATTCATTATAATTTTAATTTGAAAGTATTTTTCTTGAAGTTGTACAATATTGATTCTTGATTTCCACAATTTTTTCACTCCGATTGTGAATCTTAAACCATTTAAGACTAAAGGTCGCATTTTTAGTGACACAGTTTTTAACTATACTTAAAGTCACATCAAAAACTTAGTATCTAAATGTGTGTAAAATTTTGATAAATCGTTATGTTATAATTTTAATTTTTTAAGCACGTAACTGCTTGATGCTTGAATCTAAAGAAAATTAAATCTATCTAATTAAAATTATAACTATAATTGCTATTTCTTCTTTCATATGTTTAATACTTGTAAAAGTATTCATTTCACATTGTGGGTTACCTACGATGGCTAGAAGAATTTCGACGCGGCCGTCAGGGCTGCGGTAGCATAATTAGTCAGTGCATTCGCCTGGATTGCGAAGGGTGCGGGTTCGAGTCCCGTCTGCTGCCTGGTCCGCGTGTAAATTTTTCTAGTTATATTTTCTTTGGATTTAAATACACACATCAAAAGTGTCTAGGGATCAACATATATTTTTGCAATAACTTTTCTCCTGATTGATATTAATTAAAATTTTCTTTAAGGATTCATCAAATTTGTCACAGTAACGATAAACCAAGTCACCTTTGCATTAATAAAGAAATTTGCCATTTTCCTAATAAAGGGATTTTTGACATTTGAACCACTAACACAAAAGTTCGAAAAAAAGACTGAAATAACAGTTTTCTCTAAAATTTTATTGGGTAACTTAAACAATTAATAATCCGTATTTCTACCGCGAACACTAACAACACAAGAACATCGGTTTGGCATACTCAAAATGAGTTCATCCAAATCACGCTGTGGAATGGCCGCCCATGTTCGTTGCAACAACAAAAAAAGGTCTTCTTGCGACTGGATACCCTCCATATTCGGCAGAGCTCTTCTCTGTAGCATATCCCATGCATGCTCAATCGGGTTCAAGTCTGGCGACTGAGCAGGCCAGGGCAGGACATTGATGTTAGCTGCGGCGAGAGTCTGTCTTACAACTCTTGCGGTGTGCGGTCGTGCATTATCATGCATTAACTGAAATAAGGGACCGATTTGCACTTGTAGAGGAACGATGACGTCTGATACAATCGTCTCAGCATAAATTTGAGCGTTGAGGTTGCCTCTGATCCAAATCAACTCAGTTCTTCCGCCGATCCAAATACCCGCCCATACCATGATGGTTCCACCACTATAAGGATGGACTTCCTGGCAGGATTTTAATCGCTGTTGGCGTCCAGGGGTTCTCCAGTGTCGTATACGTCTTGTATCCGGTCTCATACCAAAACGAGACTCATCAGAAAAGCACACGAAACGCCATTGTTCTTCTGCCCAATTTCTGTGTTCAAGAGCCCATTGATATCGAATCCTACGATTGTGCATTGCTATAGGTGGTACCCGTAGCGGTCTTCGGGAATGAAGGTTCACTTCATGCAAGCGGTTTCTGACTGTTTGGTCGCTAATTAAGTTCCCTGAAGAGTGATGAAGCCTCACGGCTAACATCATGGCGGTTATTGTTGGAGCTCTTCGAGTTAAGATTTGAATGTATCGGTCTTGTCTCCGTGTGGTGCAGCGATACCGTCCTCCATGGCGCTCAGCCACGGTACCAGTGCTTCGGTATCGTGTCCAAAGTCGACTGATAACACTCTGACTTGTATTCAGAGCTAAAGCCACAGTACGTTGCCGGGAACCAACTTCTATCATTCCCACGGCTCTGAGCATTTCTTCCCTGCTTAAATGACGTCGCCGCTCCATAATAACGTTGGTTTTAATCAGTAGTAGGGAAACAGTAGCACTAATAATGTCTTCAATGCGTTGTATGTTTTTATAGGGAAAATATTGACAGCTGATTTTCATCTTTTACTCGAATTTGATTCACAGTTCCTGATTCAAATTATGAAATGCACCAAAAAGGATCCATATAAATTTATAAAATCATAAATTTATTACAAAGCCACATCTCAATCTCAAGCAATCCGCATAAAAATGCTTGATCCCTAGACACTTTTGATGTGTGTATTATGGTTTTTTTTTGGTCAATTTGTCCCTGTTGGGACGGGCAAAGGATGTTATGTTTTTCTATAGTAAAAATTTAACTATGTTTCAAACAACGCAGCCTTAAAAGCTGGAGTCAGGAAGTTTTGTTTAAATTTACCTGTTAGTGACTAAACATGCATAATATGGGAAGACTTAGCTCGACAGATACCAGTTTCGCAACTCACAACTTAAGTCCGATATGTACTCAGTTATAGTTGGTTAATAAGGAGTACCTACCACCGGATAAGGTGCTGTTGCCTTCCTATTATTATGAAACCAGCCAACATCGGGACTGTCACTTACATATTCTTTGTAATCATACACTTCAGACAACTGTGCTTCAGATGTCATCAAATCACTACTGTTGCTTAGACTGGTTTATATTTTTATTTTTTCGTTATTATGTTATTATATATATTTTAATATTAATATTGGAATTTAAACTTGAAGAAACTTTAAATTAAGAATTTATTAAATCGATTTTCAAATATAATCTTGTTACTCAATACAGACAGTAATTATTTATATCAATACCAATTATAATTATAAATTAATAAGCTTATAATATTACAAATTTTTTATATTCATATTAAGGTACTATTACATAATTTGAGTATTTATTCATGAATTTTAATAAAAATAAGATCTTTTTAAATTAACACTGGCCAAATATACAGGCCCGCTTGCACCAAAGTTCATAATAATTTTAAATTAAAAGCTATCATCATCATGTTAAGCCTCATTCTATCTCTTTTTGACTTTAATCAATAAATACATATGGAATGATGTGTAAAATACGTGTTTGGTGTGATGCAAATCAAGTGGTCCTTAGTGTTATTAGTATATAAAAAAAAATGATTTTTGTTTTTACTAGGAGGTAACTATATCATTTTATGCGATGATGATGATTATGTTGATTAATACCGGATTGCAAATCAGGACCTTCATAACAAAAAAGGCTCTATACCTTTTTTACATTATATATAAAATTTCAAATATAATTGAAATAATTCTAGCAATAGTATTAATGAATTCTTGGTACGCCTGTTCATTAGTTTTTCGTATGCGCTTATGCCACCGCCGTTTCCGATAAAATTGTTCCGGTGAGTTCCCACAGATGCTGTTAAAATGAGAGCCCGATAATTAGCCCAAGAAATTAACAATACATACCACACATCGCATTGTGAGATCACATGAGTAAAGAAAGAACACAGACAAA